GAAAGCTTTCAGATTTTTTTGTTTTGTTTCTGTCATTCCATGAAATAGTTCATCTTTTAATTTTTCTCAGATCATACTATTTTTCACAATAAGTGTAGTTATAATACTGATGGCCCAAAGATCTTTATTAAAAAAAATTCTAAAATTAAACTTTTTCATTATGCACCTGCCATGCATTTTGGTTGTTTCTTTAATTGTAAACACTCAGTTAATAGTGTTTAAAACACACAAACAGTGTTGTCAGCAGATTATACTGTCATTGAGTCTTGGCATGTGTTTGGCCTCTATTTCACAAGTGCCAAAAAACATGGCAAGTGCATAGTGGAAAAGTACCAAATTTGTATGTGCTAACTTTCATTTCTGCAAATTTATCCATACCTGTACATCCATTTTCTCTGCCATCTCATATTTAATGCTGTACAGTGTTGGGCTTGACAACTGATCTTGTGTTGTGGTGTTTTTCAAATATGTTTTTATTTGTTTCCATCTTGAAAATGATCACTCACTTCTGGCTCTGGTTACAGATGGTGATAAATACAATATAAATAAATTGTGTACATACGAATAACTGCTTGCCATGTTGTAATATTGTACCATTGGTAATTTAGTAAAATCCTTAATGAACTTTAAATTTTAGATTTCTGTTCGGAAACTATTTATGATTTTGGAACAGAAATATTACAACTGCTTGCCATTAGCCACTTTTTCATTGAATAATATTAAACAATGTCTTTAGCTGCTGGTAATACAGTCAAAAGTCGTTAATTCGGTCACCAATAATCCGGAATGATCTATAATCCGGACCTCAAAGCTAAAAGCGTTCTGCGCATGCGCCGCGTTGACACATGCGCATAGGCGTTTACGCGTGCGCGTAAGACTTTTTATGACTGCGCATATGCGTGTGCGCAAGTGCAGAATACGTTTTCGCGTGCACGTTTTATGTATAATGGACGGTAAGCTAAAATTATCTAATTATCTATTTCAGTTAATGTTGATGATTGCGTTGTTCCTTAATTTTCGAACTGGATCCAGCTTATTATTTTTTGCAGACTGTAAGAGCAATACTATAAAAGTAAACTTGAACTTTCGATTATGTCAAATAGAATTTCCGATTCTGGAGCTCCCAAAGGATCGTACAAAACGAAAGTATGTTTCGATATCCATCAAACAAAAAGTGGAATTGCTGCAAAAAATGGATAAAGACACGAAGAATGTGACCGAGAGGTTAGTGAAAACGAAAAAATTTTTGATTGACAAGTTAGTCGGTATTCTCGGCACAGCAATTAAGGGGACTTGAACGGCGGAACTTTGTAACTGAACAAGAAATTATGTCTGTTTATAGAATTAAAGAGAAAGTATTATCACATAAAACGAAACAACTTACATTGAAAGAAATGTTTAATAAAGTAAATAAATAAATATTAAGCTTTTATTTTGTAAATTTTGATACCCTTTAGATCATAATTGTTCTTTATTTCATAAATTAAGGTTTCATATTTTTAATTTTAGAATTTTCTTCATGCCATCTTACGAGATTTAAACTGATGATCTATAATCCGGAAAAATCGATAATCCGGAATCGCCTGAGTCCTGACGAGTCCAGATTAACGACTTTTGACTGTATAAGGTTTTCTTGTTAGTGTAGTCTGCCCACTCTTGGCAACTCTTAGGCTAGCTAGGTAACTAGCTTTCAAAGCTTTTTCACTTGATCTAACAAAATCTTTCATTACTTGTTTACTATTTTTAACTCTGATAATTTCCTCTTAAAATGTTCTTCAGATTTATCCTTTAAATTGGCATGCATAGATTCAAAATGTCTCTCAAAAAACGATAGTTTCATACTTTGATTGGATAATATTTCACCACAAACAACACATCGAGGTTGAGGATTCATTTCACCTACATTCTCAGTATAGTAAACCGAAATAAATAACTTTCATTATAGTTTCTATAAACAATTTTTCTTTTTCTTTTCAATAGTCTTAGTGCTAGTAGATTGTCTTGGATCCATCACCTATGAATCATCACATTTCTGCTAAGTCAATCCTTTCCATTTTGAAAATCTAGGTTTGTTTTATTATTTTTTCTCAAATATTTAAATGCACAATATATTACGAGTTCTTAAAAAGCAAATGGTGATATTCTCAAAATTCGTAGAAAAGTAAGGAATACAAAGCAACAAGAAGACAAAATATCGGTTAGAAACAGGTAATCGATGCAAAAAAAAGAAATCTCATTGAAAATGGAGCAATATGAGCCCGGGAAGGGTGGAAATCTCCTCTTAAAATATTCTTCAGATTTATCCTTTAAATTAGCATGCTTAGATTCAAGATGTCTTTTAAGAAGCGATGGTTTCATACTTTGACTAGATAATAAATTGAGTGTATTTAATTTTTGAATTTAACACTTAAAAATACTTCATCTCTTTGCATATCACCTGTTTTTCTTTTGCGCACCACCAGTTGAGAATTGTTGTATTAGGTAAATCCACATTAACGAATTAGTGTATGCTCACTAGTGCTTAAGGGGGATGTTTGCAGCAGTTATCTATAAAGACCTCTGTTCCTTGTTTAAAAGCAACTGCCTTTTTTGAACTGCGCAGTAACATTTCTTAAAAAAAAAATCGGAAAGGTTTCAGATTTTAAATTACATCCAAAGGAGCGTTTTTTTTTTTTTTTTTTTTTTTTTTTTTTTTTTTTTTAACATTTTGTGTGTTACCTTTATTTATTAAATATCATGTTCTTTGCACTTAAACCATAAAATTCAATTCAATAGCAATGTCGCAAAATAATTTTAAAATGAGCCTATCTTTAGAATTTCCGATACACAATTCCGCATGCTGGAGATAAAAGTCTCCCCCCCTGGTAGAGTGTTGCCATTACTCGCTTTGGAATACTTGAGTTTGTTAATCAAAAGTTCCTTAAAGTTTTACAAAATATGAAATTGATAATAAAATAAATTTGAAATTTGGTCTTCCACATGCCGATATTCGTATGAGGATTACGTCATTCAAAATCAATGGCTCTATGTACTGTTGTTTTATCACAATGCGAGAAATATACATACATTTATGTAGATTTTTCATTATTTAATTTCTTCAAATATAATGCAGGACTCTAACATTTGGTGGCAACAGTTTGAAAAGTGAAACAGACATTTATAGTGATTCAATGCAAAATCGCAAAATGAAAGCAATAGTCCTTCAGCAAAAAAGCCCCTTAGGACTAATAATCACACTCCATTTCATTTGAAAAAAAAAAAAAATTAAAATTAAATAGGGGAAAAAAAAAGAAGATGGCAGCCTTCAAAGTTTATCTGAACATATTATGATGTATAAATTTTAAAATTAGTTAACACAATTCCATAGTAATGTTAATTATTCAGTTTCTTGAAGTACTCATATTTTTATACAGTCAAAAGTCGTTAATTCAGATTCATCTGGACTTCGGCGATTCCAGATTATCGATTTTTCCGGATTATAGATCATCAGTTTAAATCTGGTAAGATGGCATACAGAAATTATAAAATTAAAAATATGAAACCGTGATTTATGAAATAAAGAACAATTATGATCTAAAGGGTATCAAAATTTGCAAAAAGAAAAAGCTTAATATTTATTTGTTTACTTTATTAAACATTTCTTTCAATGTAAGTTCTTTAAGTTGCTTCCTCTTATGTGATAATACTTTCTCTTTAATTCTATAAACAGACATAATTTCTTCTTCAGTTACAAAGTTCCGCTGTTCAAGTCCTATAATTGCTGTGTCGAGATTACCGACTAATTTGTCAATCGAAATTTTTTCGTTTTCAATAAAACTCTGTGTCACTTTCTTCACTATCGGAAGCGAATTATAATGACGAGGAACTTGATTTAAATCATATCAAAGATGGAGTACATCAAGATGAAATACTACATGTAGTAAGGAATTATAAGCCAAATAAAATAAAAACATCTGACCTGAAGATAAGGATAGTGCTGCCAGATCAACTTCCGATTCATTGCCCTCCCCGGCTTCAGAGCAGCGTGAAATTGATAAACAGATTTGGGAATGCAAAGTAGTTGACAGGTAGCAAGTCTTGGTTCCCTATATTTGAAGGTCGAAACTGAAAGGTTAGGTTGAATTGGAGAGAACGGTTCAGTACTGGTGTTCTATGTCGTTTGCACCATGTTAAATAGGATCTCTTTAGTGCAGAATTTGATGCAAATAGACCTCCTTCTGGAAATACTCAATCTTGGAACGCTTGGAGAAAGGTTACAAGAGAGCTGAAAATCTGTTTCACTCTTGCTACACAGCACTGAAAAGCATGAATATCAATCTTCATTGACTGTCATGGCCCTGAGACAACCTTGTCCAGGCTTTCTGTCTACTAATCTGGTAAATTATTCTGTAAGTTTCGCATGATTCTGGGTATTACAATCCTTTAACAATCTGCTGTTTAGATTGCTGTGCTTCCAGTCTCTTTTGACAGTTCTGCACTTTATTAAAATTTTGGTGGTTGCTCATTTTTACTTTGCGCTTTTGAATTTCTCTAAATGTTGCCAATTAAATCTGTAAAATTTGCCAAGGAGTACAAGCAAGCATAAAATGCCATGTGCTTTTAACAACCCTTTTCCTAAAATACTCTCCATCATGCATGTATGTCCTTATGCATTCATCATTAAAGATTTCAATTTTTGTGTGGAAGTGTAATTTCACCTTTTATTCAGCGTTTTCTAGAAAATGCTAAAATATTCAAATTCTTTTGATTCTGAATGCCAATATATATTCATATGTCATAAATCTGCTACTGGTAAACTATTTCTACAGTTTATTTCTTAGTTTCTGTGCAGAATTGCCTTTCTGAATATTGAAACTGAAAATGCTTTTTTTGTATATATATATATATATTCTGTAAATTGTTTGCAAATATAAATACATACGATTTTTCTCCCACATTATTGTATATATAAATAGGAACTATGAATATAATTTTTGAAAAGAAGTTTGTTTTTGCTTTAGGTAACTGATGGAAGATGAGTGGGATGTAGAAGCTCTGCTTGAAGCACCTTTTGCAAAGCATGTATGTATTATAAAATGTTAATGCATAAATCAAGTTTTACTTATTTATTAATATTTTATTCAGTTTGCCTCATTATCCTTTCAATAGTTATTTCAAAAATTACTTTCAGAGATATTTCCATCTTGTAAGTGTCTGCTTCCTTGATTTCAATGAATCTACTTATTAACTGGTACGAACTTCTGTCAATAAAAGAATTGTACTGGTTCAAAATTCTGAAGCTGTATTTTTACGTTTTTGATAACCACGATTAGTATTGTGTGCTTGAGTAAAAGACAGATGCTTGGGTTTTGAACTAGACAGTTTTGATACCCCTCTGTTATCCCAAATGAGAAATCTCAAGAATATGCTACAAAAACAGTATTATTAGATAAGAATTTGAAGGCAGATTTAAGGAATTAAATGATTTGTAATGCAATTTTAAATTATTTTCATTACCATTAAAAGTAGACATAACATACAAGAAAATCTACAAACGGAACTAATTAATTTATAGTGTGCTATAAATCTTATTCAGAGGCTTGCAGATACACACCTGATTAATGTGTCCGTACTTGTCCAAAGATAGTTATCTTTAGTTGTGAATTTTTTGCAATAAAAAAAGTTGCTTTGTTTGAGATTACATTTATGCGTGAACAGTTTTTTTCACAGTTGAAAATAGTCAAATGAAAGTGCACAATTGACTGATGAGCATCTACAATCCATGATATAGTTAGTTTCCAGTTATTTATCTCGAAGCTACAAACATGATCAAACTCAAAGTGCCATCAATTGTCAAGCTGTAGTAAAAAATAATGAAATTAATAATTATTTACATATAGTCATTTGTATTTTTTCTGCATGTGTTGATTAAAAAACTTACTAAATAAAGGAAAGAGGCTAGGTTGTCATTATTCATACTTAAATTTTGTTCCACTGGGGAAGTTTTCAAAATATGTTAATTTTAAGTTAAAACTAAGCTATTTAATGTTTAATTGAACATATTAGAATCATTTTAAATAAATGTCTTTTAAAAAATTTAATAATTAGCTGGTAGTACATATGAATTATGAAATGTAACCAATAGAAATTTGTTACAGATAGAAAGTAAGCATGATAAAATTGAAATTTTTCCTTTACATTATCATTAATATTGTTTATGTATGCTTTCATAAATATTTAGTAATTTAATAAATAAAATTTGAAATTAAGTTAAGATTTAGTTTTGAAATTTTGTCTTAAAAAAAATTTGCCCCTCTCCCAACTGATTTCAGATGGTTATTCATGCAGCCTGCCAGCTGCTTTCAGATCATTTATGCGGTTGAGGTATGCAGCCCACATTGTATGTGTGGGTATTTTAGATTTCATACATTGAGACTAATGTGATTTACTTTCTGATTCAGTAGGCATTATTTACGTGTAACGAAAAATGCTTAAGAAGGTTACAAAATAATATGCAACAAAAGCTCGTCTAGCCATATATTTTTATGTCTCTTCATGAGTTGGTTTACACATAATGCTTTACGTTTGCAGAAATGTAGTTGCAGCTTAACTCCTTTGTTAAATTTAAGTCTAAATGAAAGCATTTAATTTGTGTGCACTCTGACTTTAGCATCACTGAGATACATCATTGACAAGATGTAATAGAGAGGCTTGCTATCTGTATGTTTTTAAAAATTTTTCCCAGAATCATTAGATTTTATTTTGGTTGAATTAATAGTGGATGCAAATTTGAAATTTTGCAATCAAATAAATTATATTTAATGCCTTGTGATATAAAACAACAATGCAAAAATAAATATTCTTGTCTGTATAAAATTATTTTTGTATTGAGCAGTGCAGTCATAATATGTTGAAGATTTATAAAGACCTTATATATCATCCATTAACAACAGTTTCTCATGGTAATGAGACAACAACCAAAAATGCTAATTACAATATTATTTTAAACAATGTTTTTAATTGAATTTTCTCAGTTCTCTATTTGTTAAAGTGAAACTTCCCAGTCATAAGTTGATTATTTGTAGACGTGAGAAGCTTTAGAGGCTATGTTTATTGGTAATATTCAATGCATTCTTATTTTTGGTCTGAGACATATTGGTCACATTTAGAATTGATTTTTATGAGAGTTTTCAGTTTTTTTAATTACCAGAATATGTGTCATATAGCTGAATTTGTTTCTAGTAAGCATAGTTTAATTATCAATGTGATAAGATTTGAAAATGGGAGAAATCTGCATTCAGTATGGTCTGTTTTTTTACTTAGACAATTTTTTTTCTTAGTTTGCTGCTGCTACGTGTTTTTATAAATGCAATATTTAATGGAATATTTTATTGTTAGATAATTATTTGTTGGTATATTTTCTTTTCAAAAGTTAAGCTTTCCTTCTGATTTTTTTTCTTCCATATTAGTATATTTTTCAAAGGTGATTCCATTTGAATTTCTGTAAGTAAAATTTCATTATTAATTTTATTCCTCCTTCTTTCAAGTGCAAAGCATGGAAGAAAAACCAAAAAATTTCATCACAAACAATTCTTTTTATAGATCTCATGAATTCCCTAAAATACTTCGGTGCTATTCAGTTGAGGGCCGTAAAAAATCACCAAACTATTGTTGATGCCAAAAATAATTGCGGCAACCCTAATGCAAGAAAGGAAGTGTAATAGTAAATAACTATCTAAGATTGATGTTTTAATTTAGATGAAAGGTTAATTTCATATAATACTTTATTATTATTATAATTTATATAAAAAAGGCTAAGCCTGACTGAAGGTAAGCATAAGAGTAAATAACTATTTCAGATCATCATTATAATTTATATAAAAATCAATCCTGGGATTTTTTTTTAAAGTGAAAATAGGTTGATGTGTACATGGATACCGAGTATGTGCAGTTCTTAAAAATGGGTCGAGCAGTGAGTGATTCTGCACTTTACCCAAAATTCTACTGCAGACATTTCGTCATGGGAAATTCCCAAATTGTTAAGTCCATAAAATATCAATAAAAGTATTTAAAAATTAGACTAGTATTTCAATAGTGTCTTAAGAAATATAGAACTATATAAACTTACGCAATCTGAAATCGGCGCGTACACTAGATTTGGTGCGCTGTTAAATGGATGCATTTTCTAGATTTGGCTCTTTTGCGCATACATTTTCGCTGCAATTTTTTTACGGTCCTCGAAACGGAATAGTATCAATACTTCTGTATATCTGGAATGCACAATATCTGATCACTGAATTTATTTTTCTGTTCTAAAAATACCTTCAAACCATGAGGAATGATACTTAGAAAAGTCACAACAATTTAATACAAAATCTGGTATTATAATATACAGAATTGAAGGGATAACCTGAACTGCAATGCACCATTAAAATCCAGGGCTGTGCTGCACTCAGGACTCATTTTTGACCAAGATGCAAATAGGTTAATTGAACCCATTAACAACTGATGTTACATTTTTGCAACATTAGTCAAACCTTTTGTATAGTGTTCTCTAACCTTTTTTTTTTTTTTTTTTTTTTACATTGTAGATAAAACTTCTTTCTTTATAGGCAAAAAAAAAGGGGCTGTTTCCCTCACATTAAGAATTTTTATAAAAATAAATTATCGTTTTGGCACGTTTTCCCCCTCAATTTTTCTTTTAAAAGCACAACAAAGCAAATAATTTTACGAAGACACACCGATCTTCTAGAAACATTAAACTGTATAATGCCGTCAAAAGGTAAGTTATTATTATTATTATTATTATTATTATTATTATTGGTATAACTATGCATTTTTTAAAATGTTGTGAAAATACAATGTCAGTTGAAAGCAATGTCTTTGTGAGTATATACAAATTTTCATATATAGTGGTATTTTTACAGATTCCTCAAAATGATAGATATCCAAGAGCAAATGATATCTTATTTTGGTAGAATTCCTTGTAAAAGGTTTCTCAAATGAGAACTCATTAATTTCAAGCTCAAAGTTTGATGCTTTGTGTTCCTATGAGGAGAACATTTATCATTTTGATATGTATGCAGGAAAACCTTCAAAGACATTGACTGATCTCATACTACGTGGATATATTGTAACAGATCTTTTTAGTGGAAGTTTCTTCAAATCATTATGTATGTTTAGACAACTTTTTTACTTTTACGTCACATGTCGGAATTGAATAAGCTGAAATTTCATGCAAGCAAATCTTGAATACAGATTAGGAAATGGTCCTATCACAAAATGGACAAAGAAGAATGTGGAACATGTGACACCGTATATGATAAAGAGCATGCATCCCAGTAATTCGATGAAACCATAATTCTGTCATAGCTATGAAAACTAACTCTGACACAATTTATCTGCCTTCAGTGATAAAGAGGTACTTAAGAAAAGAAAACAAATCTATATCTGTAAGGTAACCTAAATTCATCGGAAATTACAACAAATATGTGGAAGAAGTAAACCTTCTGTACAATCTCAATGCAATTTATATAAAGTGAATGTGAAAAGCCAGAAATGGTGGGGGCCTGTGTTTACAAATTCTACTTATGTAGCTGAATCAAATGCATGGAAACTTTATATAAGATTTCTCTAAACCCCAAAATTTCTCTGTTACATTTTCAAAGAAGCATTATGCAGGGATTGCTGAAGAGAAGGAAGAATATTTCGAAAATTTATGGCCTTCATCTTCATATAATGATTGTGTTGACTGACCATCTTTCTTTCAGGATTTAGCTTCAAGTAAATTGAGAAAGGGTCCCACAAATCACATTATCGAGAAAAATTCAACGAACAAAAGTTGCAAATACTGTGGTAGTCAAACAATAACTGTTTATAGCAAATGTTTCAAAGATTTCCATGTATCCCAAAAGTATATGTTATTAATTTTGACTAGCATTATGTTTCCATAACATTTTGTGTCTTCGATGAAAAATAATTATTATTTTCCTTGTTACATTTTTTTTTTTTTTTTTTTTTTGTCTTAGACTAATACATCAAAATTATTATTATTATTTTTTTTTTCCATTTCCTTCAAGTGAAAGGTAGTACAGTTGTTAATGGGAGTTAAATGAACTTTCATTTTCTCTCTTTACAAGTCCTCCCTCTCCTATGTTTAGGTAATGTTTTCAAAATATAGATGATGAACTGTATTTTCTTGAATCTGTTATTTATTTATTTTTTTTCCCCCTGTCCATCTTTCTTTCTTTCCCTTTTTTTTTTCTTTTTTTTATATTTATTTTCTAAAACTGTTGTAATTTTTGTACTTATAGGATGAAAAAGAGCAGTCAGCATCTCCAGAAAATGAAAAAAGGTACTTATTTTCTTTCATCCAACTCCATTTTTGCATGCATTAAATTTTATTCATAACAAAGAATTTACATTTGAAAAAAAAATCTTGCCTAAAAATGAATATATTTTTTAAAGACTAATTTTATGTGACATTTACTTGTTTAATAATACTATATTACATAAAATATTTTTATGTATGTATTTTTAATAAATTTTTTATGTTTTGCAAATATATTGTTTTGTAATTTTTTTTTTAATTTATTTTTATTTTTGCTTGAGATAAGATTAACCTGAAATGTTATGTGCCCATTACATATTAAATTCCTGCAGTATTTTTGAAGGGAGGGGGATACATTAGCTACTGCAAATAAATTTCTGCCCCATCTGCCATACAGTTAATTTCCGAAACATTAGTAAGAATTCACATTCGTATTGAAAATTGTGTAAACATTTATAAATGCAGAATAAGTTGATCCAGAATTTTATGCTGCCCTTTGTAGAAGTTGAGCGTAAAGATTCTTTATAAAAGTTTTCACAAATTTTAGATTTTATAAATTGAGACTAATGTGATTTACCTTTCTCATTCAGCAGACATTATTCGTATGAAATGGAAAATGCTTAAAAATTTTAAGAAATAATTTACAACAAAAGTTCATCAGGCTATATATTTCCATGTCTTTTCATGAGTTGGTTTACACATCATGCAGAAATGTGACTGCAGCTTAACCACTTTCTTAAATGTAGGTTTAAATGAAAACTTAGATATGTGCATAGAAGAGTGAAAATTAAATCAAACTGTGACCTGAAAATTATATGAATGTTCATAATTGCAGCCGATTAAAGAAATTCAATTTGCATTTTTCATGTCTCAAAAGTGGAACTTCGGATATGTATTAGATTTATATATAGCATTGTTTTAATATAGGTATTTTGACATAAATTGGACATTTTCTGAAAGGATGTGCAAATTGTGTTCCATATTTCGATTCTGTGACTCAAATTATGCCAAAATATTGCACGAGTAGTTTTTTAAAAATAAGCTCTCAAAATTTTAGATCTTCAATGTTAATTGAATTTGATATATATTTATTAATATCTTTTTTAAACTTACTTCTTTCTTCTAGATTTTGAAATTTAGGCTTAATCCAAATACAAGTCACACATTTTTTATAAATTTTTTGAAAAATATTTTGAATTATAACCTATAAAATTTTTATCATCATCTTAAAGTAGATGTGTTTTTAAGTATATCTGGAAAAAATTAGCGGGGTTTTTCTTTTTTGCGAAATTTTAAGATACACGTGAATTTACATTTTGGCACGTTTCGAAATTTGGCATATTTAATATAAGCGATAATAACGAAAATGGGGTTTATGCACTTTGTTAAAATTATTTGAAAGCATGAATGATGGAAATGAAAAATAAGGAAAGTAAGTGGGTTACTATAAATGGAGAATTCCACCAAGTGAATTATTCTTGGCGCAAACTGAAAAAAATCCGCCAAGATAAATTTTTCAATTTCTCCATAAATTTCTCACCAAAAGTTACAAAATTTAATATCTACACGTAATTTGAGTCTTAGAATCGAAATAGGGGAAAAAAATGCATATGTTATTTCAGAAAACATCTGATTTTGTGTCAAAATACCTATGTTAGAATAATGCTATATGTAAATTTAATATATATCCTAAGTTGTGTTTTCAAGACATGAAAAGCGCAATTTGAATTTCGTCAATCAGCCCAGTAGAACGAAAGATACTGAACTGTCCCATTTTTCTTTTTAGTCCAAAGGGGCTTTGTCCCTGAAGGACTATTGTTTTCGTTTTACGATTTTGCGTTGATTCACTACAAATGGCGAATCACTTTTCAAACTGTTGCCACAAAGTATTATCACCCTGTGTTATATTTAAAGAAATTAAATAATGAAAAATCTGCATAAATGTATATATATTTCTCGCATTGTGATAAAACAACGGTACATAGAGCCATCGAATTTTGAATAACGTAATCCTCCTACAAATATGGGTATGTGGAAGACCAAATTTGAAAATTGTAATTTGTTTTATAATCGATATCCTATTTTGTAGAACTTTTAACGAATTTTTGATTAACAACCTCAAGGATTTCAAAGCAAGCAATGGCAACGTTGTACAGAGAAAACATTTTTATCTCCAGCACATGAGTCTCTGTATTGGAAATTCTAAAGATATGCTCGATTTCAAATTATTTTACGATATTGCTATTGAACTGAATTTTATGGTTTAAGTGCAAAGAACATGATATTTAATAAATAAATGTAACACACAAAATGCTAAAAAAATGCTCCTTTGGACGTAATTTAAAATCTGAAACATTTCAGATTCTTTATTTTTATTTCTTTCTTCCCCCCCTTTTTCCGGCAGTGTACATTTGCTTGCTTTAAAAGCATATTAGTGTGTTCTTTTACATACTAAATATGTTTAAATAACATTGCTGTTATTTAAACTTTGAGGGAATATTTATGAAATATTTTTTTAAATAGCATTTTGCAGTATTTGAAAAAAAAAAAAAAAAAAAAAAAAAAACCCTCCATTAAGGGCCTAGATTTGTTTAAAGGAGCAAATAAAATTAGCTACTTTTAATTTTTTTTTAAATGACTTGTTGAGTTTTATTATTACTGGCAGAATTTCTGAAAGACAGGATTTTAAAAGAATTTTAGGTTTTAACTTATAATTTATTAAAATTAATTTCTTAAAGTTTGATTTATTTTGACTCCACCAAGTTATAATACTTAAATTTTGTTATAAATCTCATGTGTAAAATATTTCAGGCTGGATGTATTACTTTTTTGAAAAATGTTAATATTATCACATAAGCTGATCCCGATTTCTTGTGGCAACATCACTATTTTATGATTTTGACTCAAAGAACCCTTCACTAACTTTTTTCATCTGCCTGTCATGGAAAATAAATGAATGATGCAGTTTCTGAATACCTTCCATAGCTCAGGTATTATCAGCAGTTTTAGTTCAAGATATATTGATCTAGTATTTTTATATTTTGATGCTAATAATCAAATGAATGTGAACTATTGATTTAAATAGTTTAATTTATATGCTGTAGTTAACTTTAATATATTTGGTTATTTGAAAGAATCAAGAATTTAAACGCACATCAAAATATTATATCCTCTGCTAAGTATACACGAAATTTTCAATTTCCTTTCTTACAGGAAAAAAAGCAAAAAGAAAAAACGAAGTCGAAGCAAAGAAAGAGAGAGGTCTCGCAAAGATTCAGGCAGTAAAAGTGATAAAAAAAGTAGTAGGAGAAATCGCAGTCATAGTAGAGACCGGAAAGATTCCTCTCGTAGTAAAGATCATAAAGCAAGCTCTGAAAATCATACAAAGGAAAGACGAGCCCGAAGTCGCAGCCCAGACAGAAGAAAAGACCAAAGGAACAGTTATGGTCCTAGAGGAGGATATAATAGGAATTCTATAGGTGGAAACAGAGATTATCACAATAGACATTCAGATCGTGACAGTTCGCGTCGCAAAAGCAGGTATAAGGCTAAATAAACTATTTTATACAACATTTTTATACTTAATAGGCAATTTTGTATATGTTTAAGTGATTTATAGCTCTTCTAAATGTATAAAATATCTTTGTTTGTAATTTATTTTTATTTTTGAAAAGTGTTTATAAAATTATTTTTGTAAAAATTTCTCTTTTCCTTTTCCTCTCCTTTCTTGTGAAGGTTAATTTAGTGTATTAAATTTAGTACAAAGCTTGGTCACATTTTTTTTAAATCTTGGTTTTTGTTTTGTTTTGATTTTTACCAGATTTTTTAAAATTATTTTTTCAAAATTCCAGCACTTTATAATCTGTTCTGCAGCCTTTTGCAAATTGAACTCTCTTGCCGTTAATAATTAATAATAGTTACTTGAGGTTCCACAATGCAGTCGTGTGAGTAAAAATATTAAGATTATATTCTATTTAACTAAATCATCTTGAATTTACAGAAAAATGTTGTAGTAATTTAAACATTTTTTAATGAGTTAATTCTTATGTTTGCAGAAAGGAGGTTAGAATTTCTAATCAAATAATTAATAAAACTACATGTGAGCATATACACTATGCGTATGCTTTACGAATTTTTCCTACTACTGGTAATTTTAAGAAGCTGTTGAAAACTGTATAAGTTTATTAAATGAAATGATTGATGCATTATATTAATGAAATAAGCTTGTTATAAACTATACATTAAAAACTAGAATAATCTTTTGTAGCTGGAAACTTAACTATTTTATAGCTGGAAAACGTCAGAAATCATATGACCATAGCACTCTTTTTTTTACAACTTATAAAGTTGTAGATAAGTGTGTGTTTCTTTATGTATGTATATTATTTTCATAACTGCTTGCCCATGTATAGTTATTGTTATCTGCAGGCATTTAATCATAGCATGAACAATGTTATCACATTATTTTCATTCTTACAGTTATTATTTTCAGTTAGGTATGCTGAGATTACAGCATTTGCGTACTTGTAGATTATCTTGGATGCTTAATTTCATATAAATGAGCAGGTATTTGTGTGAAATATTAAAACTATCCTATTATCTATATTCCGCACAGTTGCTTTCTGTGTATTTAACAGTAATTCGGAACTTATTCCCATCTAATGGAAGAACTTTTACGTATGTTCTTTTATTTTAAAATACTATTCCTAATCTTACAATGGGAAATGTTTCTATGCAGGAAGATTTACAAATATCTTAACAGTAGAATATTATTGCTCCTGTAAAGAGAACCATGACTTTGATTTTCTCTGTTGGTGGAAGTAAGTCCAAAGGATTTGTTTTGTATTTTAATTCATAAAACGGTAAAGTAGAATTTTTCTATATTTCCAGTTATTTTCAAACACATATTACTTTTTCAATTTTGAACACTTATAAGAATAATGTTTTACCATTTGTATTTGGGAGGCCATAATTAAATTAATATAAAAGATTTCCATATTAAATTATTAAAAGTTCCTTTTAGTAATAAAGGTAAAATAGATTTATAGTGTGTACTATCAACAGAAATTTATTATTGTAAGTACAATTTTACTATTATTAAATAATGTTTTAAAAGGTAGCAAAAGTTTCTTCTATTTCTTAAAGTACCTAATATTAAGAGGACTTATAATTGTTGATGCTTTTTTTTAATCATCGATAATTGTATCAGATTAACATAACCATTTTTATATAAATTAAATTAATATTTTGTTTGAAATATAAAAATTTTACTAGTCTTTACTTTCATGAAAGCCATCTTCCTTTCTTTTTCAGTTTCTCATGAAAGAAAAAAATATATCAATGTATACTTTGGATTTGGAATTCAACTGTCTACATCACTGGTGCCTACAATTGAGAATATGGTTATAAAATTTCATAGGAAAACAATTTACTCTCTGTGAATTGGTGGCTACATCTGGTACGCACTAAATTAGTGTGTGTAAAGGTGTTCTTTTGGTTGGAGAATAATGGATATAGCAAAGCTAAACTTCTTTCTCTTGAAATATCTTCACTTTAATTTGAGGCTTGTAATAATGTGGTTGCAATCTTATTTTGGTGTTTGTGTTCCATTTAATTTGAACTGTATACTTTTGTATGCAAGTTAATTTATTGATAAGTTTCAAATCTTTCTCCATTTTTTGCAGCTGACTAAAATTGTTTTTCAATGTTGATAACCAAAAGAATCTTTAAGCTTTTTATGCTTAAACTTTTAATGGAAAAACCAAAAATTTTAATTTGTGTGAAAATGGAATGGTTAGTTTTTTCTTTGCAAGTGAGTTTTGTAGAAATATTTTGTAATCTTTTATTCAAATATTTTAGGTATTCGAATTTCTCAAGTTTAGAAATCAGATTTCCCCCCCTCTATATATTTCATTCTGAACTTTCATGGAGCAGGGGAGAGGATTCTCAACTTTCTACCAAATTTAGAGCATTTTTAAATGTTTAGTTTTTGATTATCTTAAAGTACCATAATTGCTTCTCCCTAAGTGTTAGTTTTTAAGAAGAATCCTAAAATTATTAAAAGTCAATGTTAATAAATTGAAGTAAGTAAACAGTAAGCTTTCCGTAAGTTTGTGGTGACAAAAATTTTTTTTTCTCATGAATTTCATGACTCATAAAGTGAGGGCTCTTTGTGTCTTCACTTTAGTTTTAAATATTATGCATATAAAATGAAATTTTTTATCATAATATTTGCAAAATAAGCAATGTAAAATTATTCCAAATATAGAAATTTTAAATTAACTCTTAATTCCACACAAAATTAATTCTGTATTTGATATCTTTAACATTAAATAATGAATTTGAAAACTTTTCTTTTATAAATTAATGCCTCCCATCAGTAAATGTGCAAACAATGTGCATTATGTTTTTCCAATAAATTTAGATAAGAATGTATAGATTTGATATTATTAAATTATTAGCAGTCTTTGTTGGTGCAGCGTGAGGTATTATTTATTAGAAAAGAGGTAAACCAGAAAACTGCCTGCGTTCTTTTCATTCTCTTGTTTATCTGATATTACATTGTTGTTTTCTACTAATTGGTCATTGTATTTTGCTTCTTAAAGTATGGATTTTCCTTCTTTACATAGCTTTGAGATCTTCTGTTTCTATGATTCATCTATGGTTTAAACATTTAGTTTATATTTGTGAAAACAAATCTTCCTCTTAAAACATTCATTTTCCATTTTCACAGCATTGGGAGACTTTTCCTAATGTTTTGTATTTCCCTGTTATTGTGAATATACCAAGGGGGAAAAAATTAGGCTTTATATAATGTAATATTGAACATTATTGTTTGTACTGAAATAGTATTTGTTTATGCAAATTTTAAATTTTGTTTACTTTTGCTCTTAATTCCAGAAATAAACTAGTATAATTTTTGGCTCCCATTCATTCATTTTCAGACAATTTAATATGAATTAATTCCACAGGAAACTAAAGTGCTTTTAAACTTATTTTATAATTTTGAAGCTTGCTTAAGTTTTCAGTTTCGTTTTAATAACGCTTTGTGAATAAATATGACAGTATTTGAAACAAGTCCTTTTTCTTGCATTGCAGTAAAAATTTGAAACAGATTAAAGGAACAATTATAAAAACTCATTGATCTTGAAGGAATTTGCAGCTAAAATATGGAACTTGCAAGAATCTTTATTTTATCATACCTGGCATGTCTTCAAAAGGCAGAATTGCATGTTAAATGATAATTGTGTTACCTGTTAAATGTTGTGTGCAAAATTAAATTAAACAAGAATGTAGAAAATGGGAAATAAAGTGGGATATGGAAAAGTTGACAATTTTTTAGAGTTACGTAGAAAAAATTAATAAGATGCATGTGCACCCCAATCGAAATTCAAGCTCTGCACTTTGTTGGATAGTCTAGGAATTCCTACTTTATTGAATAGCACCTTGAAGCTCTTGAAGGAAGCTGGGTAAGGGCTATAGTAGTACAAAATAGTGTTTTAGTACATCCCGTTTATGTTCTATCAGATTTAAACTTGGAAAACATGTAGACCACTCTATCTGCTGAAATTCTTTGCCTTCGAGCAACTGGTCGCTTGCCCAGCACAATGAGAATGAGCATTATCGTCCATTAAGAGAAATACCAGTTACACTCCCAAAAAAATTAACATAGGAAGTAAGAACCTCATCTCTATATTTCAGCATTAATAGTTACACTAGTGTGTAAATCAATGTAGCCATCAGACAGTGCCCACCCTTACCATGATTCCACGACCTCTGTGCAGATGTTTTCAGTCTTATTTGCATGTGTTTGCTTCTTCCAAATTGTAATGTATCTGAAATCATTCTTCAAACATAAACAAGACTCATCAGTAAAGAGAACTAGGCTCCGGTTTATGCTACTTCAGTCACAATCTATGCACCATTGAAAGTGGATGCATATCGCAGCAAAACTTGGTGAAACACAAATCATGGTTTCTTTGTTTACAGCCCTCTTTTGTACAGCCTCTCACTTAGGATATAACTTGGTAATCGAGTATCTCAAGCTGCTGTGAAATCTCTGACAGTCAGGGCAGTCATGTCTGTTTCTTGCAGTCCTGAAATTATGTCCTGTTGTGGCATATTTTTTTACTCTGATTGTCTGCATGTATCACTGTCTTTAATCCATTTCTGGGTTCTCTATATGAAGCCTTTTGCTACTGTTGGGTGTTTACAGACCTGTATCATTGTCTGTCCTGCGCCCATTCTGTCAGTCACGCGTCATTTTTTGCAGCCTATCAGATGCCTTCTCAATGACATGTTCCACCTTTTATGTGCAAACATTTTATCCAACTATTCTTGAATTCTTGAAATTAGAATTTGATGTATCTTCTTGTACTGCTTTCCATACATGCTGAAAGAATGTGCTAAAAAATTTATATATTTCTGTGTAGCAAAAGTGAATCCCATTAGACTAGGTGTTAACAATTTTGAGACGACGCACCTTTGTTTAAGATGCTCCACGAGACCGATGGGAGTTGAAAGAAATTATCCCATGGGAC